CAAGAAATTTAAATTCCCAGCCCCTGTTGGGAAGGAGGAGGGACAGAGCAGCGAGGCTAATGACACCGTCTCCTGCCTCTGCTCAGTGTCTTTCCATCGCAACCACACGGTGACCGTCCGGTCCCAGGTTGAGAACCCCACGGTCTCATCCGTGGAGAACGAATACAGTCAGCCGCCCAGGAACTCCCACGTCTCTGCTTATGCAGGTAAGCGGCCGCCGATGCTTCCGGGGATGAAGGCGGGAGGCAGCACGGGTCACGTGATTGCCCAGAGAAGGGATGCCCCGGGGGACAGGGGGCTCTCACTGCCCTTTGACAGCGGTCCCAGTAGGGTATGGAACGGATCCAGCCTTCCCGGGCCTCGGCTTGCCCCCTGGAGACCGTGAGCCGCTCAGCTCAAGAGAAGAATACGCTGGGATGCCATTAACCACAGCACCGCTGTGACCTAACAGGCCTGTTTCTCCACAGGGCCTTGTGGGCCGGATGGTAAATGAGGCTCCTTGGATTCCTTCCAGGCAGAACAGAGCTAGCAGGGGCCTGCAGAAGCCCTGTATTGTAGGCTCCCTGACTGGCACGAACAATTAAGCCCCAGGGAACCTGGAGATCAGTATCATTAGTGAACACTGGCTGATTTGATCAAAACAGATACAGGACTGTCAAGGCACCAGCTCATAAAGCCCCTGTGATCTTCAGGCCCCCACGGGCTCCTGGGCTCTGAGGGGCTCTCTCTGTGTTGCCTGGTGGGGTAAGCCTGCTGCAAAGGGCCTCTTTTCTTTCTGCAGCTCTGGAAGGGGCCCTGCATCGTGTTTCCACCCAGCCTGATAATTCCTCCGATAGTGACTACGATTTGCACGGGGCTCAGAGGCTGTGAAAGGTGAGCCCCGCTCCCTGGCCCCCTGGGATCCCCGAACAGCCCCACGGATAAGCACCAGCCCCTCAGTTCCTCACCTCCTGCCCGCCCTGCCCGTCCGGAATGGGGGGCTCTGCACATCTTGACTCTTTTTTTTTTTTTTTAATTTTATTTATTTATTTGAGAGGGAGAGTGAGCGAGAGAGAGAGCACAAGCTAGGGGAGGGGCGGAGAGAGCGAGAGAAGCAGACTCCCCGCTGACCAGGGAGCCCCATATAGGGTTCAATCCCAGGACCCCAGGATCATGACCTGAGCTGAAGGCAGACGCTTAACTAACTGACTAAGTCACCCCGGCGCCCCACATCTTGACTCTTGCAGGCAGAAAGAATAAGCATTAGCAATTTAGGTGACAGGTGCTGATTTGGCAATTATAGCAGAAGGATCATTGACCTTAACCCCTCCTCCTAAACTGCATCTTAGAAGGCCACCCAAAAGAGCCCCTGAGACCCCTATAGAGCTGTCAGCAGGAAGAGGGACAGCCTCTGATCCCTGACATCAAACCGGGGGCTCAGGGCCTGTCCCCCACCTCCCTGAACCCTCTCCGGGGTGTGAGGTTTCCTCCTCTGACCTGTTTCCTTCTCTCCCCACAGAACCAGGCACCAGGCACGAAAAACATCAAGAGCCAGACCTGTCTCCTGAGAACACTCTTGCATCCGCCACCTGGAAATAATTTGTGCCCCAGCCAGAACATGGACCGAGTAAAGGGGGCCTTCAGATAGGTCCCCTGTCCCTGCAGCTGCGGGCTGCTGGAGCCTGGCCCAGGGAAGACCCCCAACACAGCCGGGCTGCCCCTCCGCATGTGGGAGCCGTGAAAGGCACAACCCAGAAACGAGACCCCCCCCCCCCTGCAAGCAGACATGTGGGGAGCGGTAGCCAGAGGAATTGGTTCTCTCCTCAGACTCTGACCCCAGTGAGAAGGAAGCTCCGCTCTGGGGCGCGGGGGGGGGCGGGCGGGGGGGGGCTCAGTTTTCCAGTGTCTTTTTAATATGTTCTTTGTAAATAACACTTTTTCTACTTCCTGCGAGCCAGAGGGCCTCCCCTCCTCAGTGCAGGGTCCAGCCCCTGCACCCCTCTGGGGACAGCGGTGTAGCCATCCTGGTCAGACGGAGCGGCTTGGCATGGCGGGCAGAGGGGAGGACGAGCGAGAGGGGGACAGTTCACTGGGAGCCTGAAGACCTAGAAAAGGCAGAGGCCAGGCCGGGCCCCACTAAGCCCTTGGGCACCAGTCTCCTAAGGAGGCCTCTTGGGTCACAGTCTGCCACTGTCTGCACCAGGAGCAGCAGCTCTTCACAGCCCGAGCCACAGAAGCCAACGCTGGAAGAGCCACGGGGAGTTACTAGAAGGATATGGGGGAGGGCTGCTCACAGAATCAGGGGACCCAGGGGCACTAGCGTGCCAGAGGAGTCTGGTCAGCCCTCTGCCAACACCTTCCAACCGGGCCTCCCGTCCTCTCCAGAGTCCCGTGAGAGCCCAGCGGGCGAGCCCAGCTCTCGGACCTGCCCCGACCATGCTAGGGATCCGGACACAGGGGCCCCCAGTACCCTTCCTACACTTGGCAGGGGTGAGGGGTTCCTCAGGAGGGAACAGAGAGGCGGCTTTTAGGGAGAGCCGTCGGGGAGCAAGAATTCCGGTTCCCCCAGAGGTCCTTCGAGCTGGACTAAGAATCAAACTGACGTGAGACGGAGTAACAGGAGAAAATCAAAGTTAAGAGGAGTGTGTACGGGGAATCCACACAGACGTGGAAATTGCAAGGCCAGGCCAAATGAGGTCTGTGTGTCGTTTTGAACAAAGGAGAAGGCGTAGGGCTCTGGGACTTCAAAGGGAAGGAATGCTCTTCACAGGGCAGTAAGACGAGCAGATGTTTGGTGATTAGATGTTTGCCCTGCTGTACAGATGGGCCACTCAGATAACATTTATCTCTGGCAGTAACTCTTATTCTGGAAAGACCTCCAATTTAGATTCTTCTATGCAGTTGAAGGAGGGGCAGCAGTGTCTCGTGAGCACTCAGAGTCCTGATGGCCTTCAGCTCAAAACAGTCGCCGAGCCAAGCGGCGCGTCTTGGGGAGGCGCACCCTCCACCCCTATAGGGCAGAGGCTGTGAGGCGCCAAATGTCGCCGACCAGCACCTTTCTTGGTAAAAGCTCTCCACTCTCCAGCTGGGCCACCGTGCACGGCCTCAGCACAACCATGGCCTACTTAAGCCACCCCCCCCCCCCCCCCGCAAAAAAGGAGCTGCATTGAGGTGTTAGGTCTCTTTAGAAAACGGTTTTCCAAGTGGTGGCGGGCCTGGGTGGGGCGCCCCCCAAAGATGTGTTTGGTAAGCAGTTGCAGAGGCGCGGTCTCGGCCTTGGAGGTGCCTTTTGTCAGGCTCCGGCCTTAGCAGGAAGACTCAGGCCACAGGCCCGGGCTGGGCGCTGCTCCCCGCCGTGAGCCCCTCACGGGCCACCTCGCTTACAGAAGAGGAGCCTGGAGGCTGTGCCGCGGCCTGGGCCGCCTCGGGTCCACCCTCTTGCCTTACAGCAAGCTGCCAGAGCAGAGTAGGGGCCAGCGGCCCCCGAGCCAGAGAGGATAGGGCTCACTGCGTGTCCCCAGCCCACCCCCACGCCAGCCCATTTCCCTAAATTACGGCACCCGCCTGACCGTCGGGGGCATGTGAGCGTGCCGAAGCCTCTCTCCATCAAGCCCCTTCGGAGAAAGTGGTGCTTCCTCTCGTCAGCCCCTCGTGCCCCCTGCCGCCACTCCAGGACCCGGGGCAAAGCCAGTGACTAGACCGTGTTGCCAGAGTGCGATTTGTTGGCTTCTTCCTACAGAGCCAAGTTGGCTTCTGACTCTCCCTGGTGTCGTGTGTCCTGAACCCTGGACACATGGAAGGCGCCACCAGAGTTCAGGAGGGGGCAAAAGGCAGTAAAGGTTTGACTAAAGCCCAGGGATTCTTAACGTGGGCTTCCATTCCGCAAGCTTTCTGCAGGGCGGTGGCCTCTTCTGACACCACAAAGGCACGGCCTGGTGGCGGAGCAGGTCAGCCAGCCAGGTGCCAGCCCGGCCCCCGCCCCTCCAGGCTAGGCCACCGGGTCCCTGACCCACCCACCCTGCAGTCTCCTCCCTTGCTTAAAATTGGGGGTCAAAGGGCTGTCGAAAGGACCCAACAAGACGATGCATGCATGTCGGGTGGCCCTGTTGCATATCCGGTACTGACAATCCACAGCATCTCTGCACGTTGCCCACAGGCAGCCTGTCCCGGTCACTTGGCCGGGAAGGAAAAGCAGAAGCGCTGACTGGAGGGTCCATCAGAAGCCCCCAAAGCTGCCCTTACTGCCGAAAGCAGAAGACATCCTCCCAAACCTCATGATAGAACCAGCTGAGCTCAGGGTGGGCTGGAGAAGGAGCAGGCTGGGCAGTGGCCGAAGACCACCTAGCTCACAGCCAGCGTCACGGCCCCTCTCTATCCGTTCAGAAACTGGACGGGCTGACGGCCGGGGGCAGGAATGTGGCGCCGCCCTCGCTAGGCTGAGCCCCGTACGCCCCCTGGTGGCGACCTGTGGCAAATATGCAGGTCCCCGCGTGGAAAGGCCGAAGATGGAAAACCAAAGTGTAGAAGAAAGGAAAAGGCCACAGGAGAGTCAGAAGCCAACTTGGCTCTGTAGGAAGAAGCCGACAAATCACACTCCGACAACACAGTCTAGTCACTGACTTTGCCCCGGGTCCTGGAGTGGCGGCAGGAGGCACGAGGGGCTGATGAGAGGAAGTACCACTTTCTCCGAAGGAGCTTAATGGAGAGGCTTCGGCACGCTCACATGCCCCCGATGGTCAGGCGGGTGCCGTAATTTAGGGAAATGGGCTGGCGTGGGGGGTGGGGTGGGGACACGCAGTGAGCCCTACCCCACCAGACCCGGGGCAAAGGAGCAGGGGAGGGCAGCCGCTCGAGAGAGGATATCCAGATAGATGAGGCTTTGTGGACATGATCAAAGAGGCCCTTCAGCAGAGCATGATCCTGACTTCCACCCCCCCACCTCCCCCCGACCCGGGCCCCCAACCCCCAGCCCCAGCAGCCACACCTTCACTTCGCAAACCCACCGGAGCGACCGCACGATGTGTAACTCCTCAAAGTTTATTATGGCAATTAATTATACAAACATACCAGCGATCGTTCACCCAGTTCAGAAGCTCTCGAACCAGTAGAGTCCATTAGTGATTTCTCTTCATAAATAACTTAGGAGAAGCAAGCACAATTGGCAAGCAACCGACGCGCAAACGGAGCATCTCCTGGGGAATACCCACTGATGGCACGCAGGCCAGGGAGGGGGGCAGGCACCAGAAGGTCGAGTTTCCTCGTGGGCCCCCAGCACCCCGGGCCCACCAGATACTGGGTACTCAAGTAGTGGACATAGCAAGGCACATATGACTTCCTAGCAGATAGCAGCTCCAGAGTCTGCCCTTGAGACCTGGTTCATATCCGGAACAATCAAGTTAATGCTTCGTTCATCACACCCCTTTGGTCTACTGCCTTTGTTATTACTGAACACGCGTCAAACCCCCAGTGTGCCGGGGGCTGTGTGGGGCACGGAGTCACATCCCTGCCCTGTACATTCTGAAGACGAGAGAGAAGCACAGAAATGGACTCCGTCCGACAGAGCGATGGTGTCTGCGAAGCACCAGGTGGGAAGTCACTGTTCGGGCGTCCTCTGTCTGAGGAGGGGTGCTGGGGCGGGGGTCGTAACACCAGAGAGCCAGAGGACAGAGACGAAGTGGGGGGGCGGGCTGCTGTGGATGAGATTCAAGGCACTAGAGGAGTGGATGGATGGGGGGTGGGGAACCCCAGAAGTCAACCGGAAATGGAGGGCCCCAGAGAAGAGAGGGCGGCTGGGGGAGGTGACCCGGCCCCCCACTCCTAAATGAGTCCGGTGTTGAGCGCTATCTCCCGGGCCAGAGCTGCTCCCTCTCCTTCAGCCAAGGCGACTCCCGGATTCTCCAACCAGTGTGAGCAAGGTCTGGGGTCCACCTTCACAATCCCCAGCTTTCTCGCTGCTCCAGCTGCCGCCGTTCAAACCAGCTCACAGAACACACTTCTCTGACACCGGCCTATCAGAGTTCAATTATGGCTTTTTGTGGGACTTAAAAATCAGCAAGAGTTCTTCCTAACTGCGCCCTCCCCCTGATCCAACTCCAGCCATGGTACGTGGGGCAGGCCATCCTTGAAAGGACCGGACAGACACAGAGCTGCATCCCTGGCCACGAGCACCAGGTTGAATGCGCCAAATCCCAGGAGGGAGGGAGGGGGGTGAGCAGGGGCTGGAGACCGGCCCCCTCGTCACTGAGATCATTGCATTTGGTTCCAGTGTCCGGGAGCGCAGGCCCAAGCAGATGTCCACAAACGCGCGCCTGCTCACTCACATGGACACCCACGAAGAGGGACCAAACTCCCCGCCTGGCTAGCACCAGGAAAGCTGAAGCCAGTCACCGAAAGGAGGCACTCCCTTCCCCCCAGGAAGCCAGCAAGTGCTGTGACCAGCCACGCGGCCAAGCCAGTCACACTGCCTGGTGCTCTCCAGGCCTGCACGCTCCCAACCAGGCCCCCCCAGGGCCCCCGTGTGCTGACCCAAGTCCACTTCCAATGTAACCTCGAATCTCAGTGGTAGGCGGGCCAAGGGCTGTGGCACAGGTGGGAGTAGAGAAGGGCCGAGGGCCAGGACGGTGTCTAATACCCAGGCCAGGCAGGACCCTGAGGTGGTGGAAACCCATAGGGAGGGGCAGGCCCAGGGGGGTAGGGCGGCTGAGGGGGGCCTGAGGGCTGGGGCTGACCTGGGAAGCTCGGGAGCGGGGACTGCGTTGGGTAGGGAGGTCTTCGTCCTGGCGAGAGGTAGGGGGCCTGTTGAGGATAACCAGGACTGGGGGCCCGGCTCCCTGCCAAGGGGTACCCGGGGCCAGAGGCAGTAGTCGGGGCCACGGGATAGCCTGGCCGGGAGGGTGTGCTCCTCTGTGGGGACCAGGAGTAGCCCGCAGCACCCTGGGGTCCCGGGTGGGCTGACGGGTACAGGGGGCCCAAGGGCCCCCTGTAGGGAAAGGAGGGCTGGGACACCACGGGGAAGGGGGCCGGCTGGAGTGCGCCCTGGGCGGTGGGGCCCATGGGTATGCCAGGAGACGGGCTATAGGGCAAAGGGTAAGGAGGCACTACTGATGGGGGCGGGGGCGGCTCTTCGGCCACAGGGGGTGTCGCCTGCGCAGCCGGCCGAGGCGGGGGCGGCGGGCGTGGAGGAGGGGCGTCACCGGCCGGCTCCTGGGAAACTCTGGGCTTCCTCATCACATCCTGGAGCTTCTCCACGCGCACCCTTCGCAGATGGGACAGCATCCTCATGGAGGAAAAGTTCTCCAGAAATGTTTCCAAGGGCACCTCGCCCTCCAGGAACTTCTCGGCCATGGCCTAGAAGACATAAGGTCTGGTGACAACAGGGGCCTGCCTGGGATCAAGGCTGCCCATGGTCCCCAGGATCAAAGGCCACCTGCGGCCCTCCCGCACAGCCCGCTGCAGGCGCTCCCTGTCTTCTCTGGCCCCCACTTGGGACTTTCTCCTTATGGCACTTATCACCGCTGACCTCTTCTACCTGCACTCGCTGGGTGTTCTGTCTCCCTCACCAGAATGGCAGCTCCTGGAGGGCAGGGGCTGTGGTGGCCACTGCTGTCCCCTGCCCCTGGCATCGTGCCAGGCTCACGGCGGCTCCTGCATGGCTGTGATGTATAAATGGATGAACACTAGCTACTCAGTTGCCAGTGCAGGCGGGCCCCGGGCTGGGAGGACCTGGCAGCTTCTTCCACCCAGGGCACGGAGAACCGGAGGGAGCCCGTCTGCCCACAGACTGAAGAGATGGCCAGAGGGAAGCAAAACAGAGAGGCCAGGCAGCAGGGGTGGGGCCGGGGGCCAACAGGGCCTCCACTGGGACTAACCGTGTCATCCACCTTTGCCATCTACTAATGCCCCTCGTCCCAACTTTGCAGACACCCAGTGCTCATTCCAAAGGGTTCTCGCTCCAGGGCCTGACACGGAAGAGGGTGTGACAACAGCCATCCTACCTCAGACTCTTCTTCGATCTTCATGCCTTCGATCTGCAGAAGGTCTAACAAGGTCTCTGGCTGCAGTGCTGAAGAAAATTTCTCTGGAAGGGAGGGCAGAAAGATCGACATTCTGCAAGTGCCTTTCCATTCAGTGTTGGAGGCTGAGCTTTCGGCAAAGACCCTCACAGCGTCCTCTGTGTGCTCAGAGGCCCAGCCCTGGTCAGGGGGTCTGGGGTGGAGCCCAGTTCCCTGAGGTCCCTTCCTGAGCAGAGAGGGCTCTACCAGGCCCGGCCCAGACCTTGGCTAGCCAGCCGTCTCAATGCCAGCAGAAAGGACTCGAGCACCAGAGCCCACCAACCAGCCCCAGCCCTGTGCTGCCTCATGGGGGCAGGGGGTGGGGGGGTGGAGGTTACTGCACTGTCTGAGCACCAAGCTTCTCCACGGCTGAGACCGACAGCCCCCCTCACTGATGGCAGGTCCCAGGACACGGAGAGCCCAGCCCAGCGCCGCAAAGCGCGGTGTTGCCCAGCAACAGCGGGGAGGCAGGCTCTCTGGACTCATGTCCCAAATCTAGCCAGAGAAGCCTGGCCACGTTCCTGACTCTCTCTGAGCCTCATTTTTCTCATCTATGGAACAAGAACAACAGTCCCTCCCCTTCTAGGCTGTTGGGAAAAACATACGTAAGCACTCAGCGCAGGGGGCCGGCAGGGGGTCTTTCCTATCCTGGGGAAGGGGGAGGGAACGTATCCTTCCGCACTATTCCCGGAGCTTGAACGGGGCCTCCAAGTTGACAGACAAGCACCCAGAGCTTGCTCCAGGCCGTCCCTACCAAGCTTCGCCTTCTGCTCCTGGCACCGCTCCACGAGCTTCCGGAGCTCCTGGTACTTGTCTGAGAGGTTTGAACGGCTGATCTCCAGGGGGCCTTGGAACTCCAGGTTCTGCTCCGCCAGGCTCCGGTTGGTGGCCAGTGCCATCTCCCGTTCCAGCTGCAGGTCCTGGACCTAAAAGAACAGGACGTTGACCGTAAGAACCATCCTCACCATCACCACCACTCACCTCGTGGCAGGCTGCACCTGGGGCTTCTGGGACTCGTCGCTCCCGGTGGGAGAAGGGGGTAATACCCCCAGCTTGGGTCCAATGGACCTGAGCCAAGCACTCTGACCCGGGCGCCTCACTGAATCGCTAACCCAACACCCCATGCGGTGGACACAGGCAGGAAGCGCACTGAAGGTCAGCAGCTTGCCCAAGGCCACGTGACGAACAGGAGCCAGGCTGCCACAGCCCTGCAGAGCTCCAGCAAGCAGGTAGACCAATTAATATGCACGAGGCAGAGGCTTTCTAGGAGGGAAGGGACCAAAATCCCAAACTACTTATCCCCAAGATTCTGAGGCAGGAGGCCTACTCTGAGGTGCCTGACTCACAACCACAGGCCGGACATGCATGAGGCCCCAGAACGGTTACTCTAAGGGGTGAGAAAGGCAGGGCCAGACCGGGACACTGACTCAGGGGAGACCTGTCCTTGCTTCCTGGGCCACAGGTAGGTCCTGCAGAGAAGCTGTGCAGATGAGCTAACAGCGGCGTCCCCAAGAACTGGAGGGGCCTCTCAGCCAGCAGAAGGCACCCACCGACACGGATGACCTGAGGCCCTCATGCCAACCTTGGCCCCTGGCTGTGCCCCCCCTGAAAGCACTTCCCCAAGCAAAGCAGCGCCTTCCCCTCAGCCAGGTCCCTTGTGGCCATTAGCAAGAGAGGCGACAGCCCCAGGAGCCCTTCCCAGACCTGCTACGGCCTGAAGCTCCATCCCTGCGTCGGAGTCCTCTTTACCGGGAGGAGGGCGGAGAGTTGGACCCACCACCCCCGAGACAGCGACGGTCCACCGAGAGCCCCGCGTGGCATGAGAAGAGAGCGCTCAGCGCCCAGTAGAGGGCTCAGGGCACCGCTGCGCATGAGTAGCCGCCACGGTTGGCACGTGATGAACAGACCGGCTCATCCCCCACAGGCCAGGGGTGTCCCGGAAGCCTGCCCTCCTGCTGCTCCCCGGCCACAGGGCCTTGAGCTCCAAGCTCTGGGGCGGGCCTGGAGCCCGCTCTTCACGCTCCAGATGGGACAGAGGGGGTACAGACCCGCCTCCCCTCCACAATGCAGCCGCTGGGGCCCAGGGATCCTGGGGCCTGCCTGGGGTCTCTCCGGTCTCCCCACAACAGCAAGCTGCCCCACATCTGGGCTGACCGGTTTGCTGCCATGAGCACTTCGGAGCCACTCGGCGAGCTGCAGAGTGGGAGGCCTGAAGCCCTCTGCTCAGCTGCCCCACTGGCCCCCCTAGGTGTCCACGGCCTTTTCCCTGGGTCTCAGCCAATAAATGTAAGCTGTGTCATTCAGCCCTGCACCTTGTCCTACACATTCTGGCCTGTTCTCCCACAACCTCCCCCAAATCTTTCTCCATGGGGGTTCACTATGAAGCCTTCCACCAGTCATTCCGAAGAGGTCAATAAGACAGTTCTAGCACCCCGCCCAGAGGTGCTCACCAGGCCTGCGTGCACCCCACCAGTCACTGCCCTCTGTGGAGAGAGCCCCCCTACTAGCTAGCTTTCTTCTCTCCAAGCAACGTCCACATCCCACACCGAACCAGCTCACGTCTCTCTGCACAGCCACGCAACTAGGATGTGTAAAATTATGTTTGATAGACCATGATGGAAACCTCGTCAAGGGGTTTTGCAAATCTAAGTAGCTTGCCCTACTTCGCTTCCCCTTGATCCCAGAAGTGTTTTTCCCCTCCAAGAACTCAAATCGACTGGTCTGACTGGCTGTAGTCCACAAAATTCGAGTCGCCTTCAGCCCCAGAGGTTGTCTGCGCTTACATTTTCTGCAATTCTGCGCTTCGGCATCAAGTCTATCAGCCTGCTCAGCTTGGAAATCAATTAATTATACTTATGTGAAGGCTCGCTTCTGCCAAGTTTCCCACACTTTAGAGCTGGCCTTGGAATTCCTAGAACGCTGTGCTCACGGCAGAGTCAAGAAACACTTATGCTTAATTCGTGACAGACAAACGGAGGATGAAGGAGGCCGGCATGGTGCTGGCTGGGCCAGATCCTGGCCACGTCACAGCCTGACTGACCACTGAGGCGGGCTTGGGCTTAACCAACACAGGCTTTGCTTCCAGTCCTCGCCGAGCGAGGCTCAAGGCAACAGAATGTGCCACACGGAGCCCCCCTACCCGTCCTCACACCCTGCCCCCTACTCTATCCCCCCTACCCCCCAGCAAAGATTGCTCATTTGGGTAGCGGGGCAGGTGGGGGGAGGTGGGGGCAGCCAGAGCACAAGCTAGGAAGGGGCAAGGGAACACGGCCGCACTAGGCACACCGTACAGAAGGCAGGGAGAAGCTGGACAGGGTGACTTCCCTTGTGTTGAGAACAGACTGTGAATCCCCAGCAGAGACACACCATACCTGTTGATCAGTGAAAATAAAAATCTATTCCGAACGCTAATCCAATGAGATGGACACTGCTTGTACTTGTGTCCGTCCCCAGCATGAGGGGCGGCAGGGGTAGCTCCCAGAGCAGGGGACAGGCTGCAGCTACTCGAGGCGGGACTGTGGGTATACCCAGCTCTTGGCCCCATCCAGTCACCTGACCTCGCGGGGGTCACGGGATCGAGGAGACGGGAAGGCCTTTATAAATATAAGCAGAAAGTTCTATACATTCGGAAGGGTTATTTTATTCCCACGGGGACTGTGATGAGCTGAGACTGGTTAGGTGCCAGTTATTACAGGAAACGGGATCAAACAGGAGATGGGCCCATACCCCAGGCCAAGAATGGCTCCTTCCCTAGATGCAGGGCCACACAAGGCCCTTGAGGAAAGACAGCCGCAAAATGGTATGAGTACTTGCAGAAACCGCCTCCAGGGTCAGGCTGGAACAATATGTGCCAACTCACAGGGGGGCCCCGGATGCCCCAGCACTGTCCCCCAGAACTCCCAGAGAGCCCAGGACCTAGACTCAGATCTCAGGGATTCCCCTGGCTTGGTCCAAACCAGAGGGAAGGCCACAGAAAAGGGAGAAGAACATGGCCCCAACTCCCACCAAGCCAGTGTCCCGAAGCAGGGCCAAGGTCCCATCTGCTGCCCTTCCTCAGGTCCCATGACAGCCTTGCTCTACCTCGGGGGCCTCCTGGGCCAGCCGGTTAATGGCCTCCGGGTCATTCTGCATCTCCTCCAGCTCCTCCAACGTCTTGTCTTTCAGAGTCTCCATCTTCCCTGTGAACACAGAACAGAGGGAAAGACACACTGTGGTTTCCCACTATGCTTCCACTGGGCAGGAAGCCTCAGGGTGGGACAAGGGTCCCAGCAAGCAGATCCCGGCCACCCTGCCATCCCCTGTCCCCAGGGAGACCAGGGAGCCCCACTCCTTCCACCAAACCAGGAGCAACAGGATAGGTGAAAGCCCTTGGCAGCCAGAGGCAACACCACGACTCCTTGGGGTGCTAGATAAAGCTGCCCAAGGATCACACAGGAAAAGGCAGAAGGAGAAGCCAGGCAGCCAGGGACAGAGACAAAGCTGGGCCCAAGGCCGCCTGTGAGCCTGGATGCCAGCAGGCCCTCTGGTGTCTATTTCTGCCTGAACCAGAAACACACCCGAACCTTCACATGCGGGGGCTCTACAGACTCAGCATCCCAGACTCGAGGGCATCACTGCTTGTTCTGCTTAGTACCCTGACAACCTGGGGTTTCCCTCAACTGTGCTCGGCGACCACAGTCCTCTCCACGGGCCACAGAAATGGACAGTCACAGGCAGGGCCTCCTCGGGGAAGAACAACAACAACAATCATCACATTGGCCCCCAAGGCACTCAGAAGGCAAAGAAAACTGACCGACCCCAACAGAACATCCGCCTGGTCAAAAGAGCTGGTTTCAGCGGGCCTCCCCCTCCTCTGTCACTCTGCCAACAAGGACACCGACTGTCTGTGTGACAGATAGAGGGGTCACAGCCAAGCCCCAGGAGGGAGCCCCGGGGACCAAGAGAAGGAAGTGCAGACACACTGAGGCCACTCTTCCTTTCTGCCGACAAGGTCCTCTGTTATCTTTTCTAGACATGCATCTTATAGCCCTGATGTCGATCTTTCTCATTACAAAAGTGATGTTCGTTTTCAAAAGATTCCAGGTTCCGGAGAGACCCAGACGGGGAGGCCCTTGTCCTCCCCGGCACCAGTGCTCAGCCTGCGGGATCCCATGCTGCCCGTAGTGGCCCACGCCAGAGGCGGTAATAATAAGTAACTTCTCTAGTGTCGGGGCCCTTCACCAGCATTTGTTCCTTAAGCCCACGCTGTGTCGGCCTCATCTTACTGAAACTTACACCTGCCCATTTTGCTGATGGAGAACCTGAGGCTCAGGGAGGTCCCGGTTGTGGGAGGTCCCTCGGCTGGGAAGTGTAGTAAGTGTAATAAGGTCCAAGAAGGGGCTCTGGAATCGAGGACCAATGTGGCACCTGTGTGGCCAGAAGTGACCTCCAGGTCCTAGCTTCCCGTCTGGAATGGAAGGGAATGGTCTCTCCTAGGCCATCGGACAGATGAAAGGAGAACCTGATCAACAGTGACAGCCTCCCATTGGCCAGCAAAGTGCTGGTTTACTCCTCACGTGCCGGCACAGCTTTAACGGTGCCCCCTTCTCGTGTTCAAAACTCGTTTCGACAACAAATTCTAGGGTCACTCTCCTGAGAAAGAGCTGGCCAAACAGAGTAGTCAACCACCATCTCTTCTCTCCCGAGGGTTGAATGTGGTCCCCAACCTCTAAGGCAAGGAATGCTGAGTTTTGCACGTGCGGTCTCTTCTGATCCTGCCAGGGGCGGGGGGGTGGGGGGGTAAGCAGGCAACTGTCCCTTTACAGGTGGGGATCAGAAAGGTTAGTAAAGGGCAGAGTGAGAATCCAAACCTCCCTTCTGTCCCCATCTCACCCTGCTGCTCTAAAAACTTGGTCTGAAAGCTGGCGCAGGGGAGTGGCAGACTACACAGGCCGCGGGAAGGAGAACTCTGGGGGTGCACCGCTTCCCACCCTGCAGACCGAGTGAGTCCACCATGAACGGGACCAGCGGGGCAAACACGACACGTGGAGCAGCGCTCTAAAAACAAACCTCGTCTGAATCCTGGCCCTGCCACTTCCCAGCCGAGGGACCTCCCACAACCGGGACCTCCCTGAGCCTCAGGTTCTCCATCAGCAAAATGGGCAGGTGTAAGGCTCGGTAAGATGAGGCCGACACAGTGCGGGCTTAAGGAACAAATGCTGGCGAAGGGCTCCGACACCAGAGAAATTATTACCATGGCCTCCGGCATGGGCCAGATCCCCGGGGCGCTGGCAGTGCCGAGCCGGGCTCCAGCACAGAACCGGGTGTCCGCCAGCTCCTGCAGTCGGGGCCGGGCCCAGAGAGCCCGCGGCCGAGGGAAGCTCCGGCCTGGGCAGCTGACCACACACCCCCTGGCGCGGTCGGCAGGGTGTCTGCGGAGGCCCCGGGCAGGTGCACTCCCACACACGGGGGGAGCCCTGAGCGGAGCAACTGTCTCCCAGCCCCTTCCCAAGGCGGGTGTCACCGTCCGTGCTCAGTAAGTCCCACACAAGGCAGCACGGCCTCGAGCAGTGGATCACATGCTTTCTGGTCTCAGGACACCTTTCACCCCTGACGTTACTGAGGAACCCGAAGAGGTCACCCTTATGTGGTGGATTTTAGGTATTAGTATTGACCATATGAGATATTAAAAGTGAGAAATTTTTCTACTTTATTTTCTTTGAATGTTCACAGCAGCTTTCATTGGAACAGCCTGGAATTGGAAACAACCCAAATGATCTCCAGTTAGCAGAGAGTCTTACAAGCTGTGCTACGGCTTATAGTAAAGCGAGACTCTCCGGTAAAAAGGAAGAAATTGATGTCTGTGACTTGAATGGATCTCAAGGGAATTTTTCTGAGTGAAAGGTCATTTATAGAACATTCTGCTTATATAACATAGGATTCTTTTTATATAACCTTCTTAAGATGAGAAGGTTGTCGAGATGGAAAACATGCTCGTGGTTGCCACGGGGAGACATCTGTAAATACAAGACTATGCAAGCGCCCATATGTCAGAAGCCACCAGAAGGATGATGTGATCGCATGCCATGTACCCTCCAAAAACCCCACTGTATACTCATGCAAGAAACACAGTAAAAAGGAAAGTAACACCTTAGATTATGAGAATCATTCTGACCTCACAGGCAGCCTGAAAGGGTCTCAAAGACCACCCCTCCACCCAGAGCTCCCAGGAACACACTTTGAGAACCACTGGCCTTGAGGTTAGAATGGACTCTGCAGCCAGATAGCCTGGGTTTGAATCCCTCCCTGTCACCTACAAGCCCTGTTGTATAACTTCTTTGTGCCTTAGGTCCCCCATCTGTTACAACAGCGGTGCATGGAACACAGCGAGCATTAACCACTTGCATTACGAGGACCCTCGCGACCAGCGGATGCAGCGAGTACTGCCAGCACCCGGCCTCGCAGAGGAGGCTCAGAGAGGGGAAGTCACTTGCCCCGGGCCCTCCCCAGTGGGGGCTTTGCAGCATGCCCCTCAAAATCGCCGGAGTCCCAGGTCCTCCTCCAGACCCAGAACTCTCCAGGACTCTTCGTGTGACTTTTAATGAAGTTTTCATTCTAACTTCTACCCAGGGTCAAACTCGTGTGGCATCTGTGGCCTTTCTTTCCCCTTCGTCCGGCACTCTGAGGGAACTCAGGTGGGTGCAGCCTCCCCTGACAGAGGAAAAGCAAAGACCCTAGAGAAGAAGGGGTTCGTCAAGCAGTCCATGCGGAGGCAGATGCGAAGGCGGGGCTCGATCCCCTGTGTTGTTTCTACTGAGTGACCTCTGCCAGGACCCCAAACACACTTCCCTCGGGTGCCTGTGGCTTGCCTCGTGTAGGCAGGGTGGGACCAGGCATGGGACGGGGTTCTCCCACTCCAGGACCGAAGCTCCAGATTTGCAGCCCCATGGCAGGGGGCCAGGCGAGGCAGCCTAGGCAGCCTACCACAGCGTCAAGACCAACCAGCAGAACGTCGAGGCTACAGCTCCCGAGAAGACAGCCCAAGCTCTGGCCAGCTCCGTGGGGAGACCCACACAAAGAGCCTACCTGCGACACTGTCAGACTTCTACAGGCCAGGAGACCCACGCTACCCAGAGGCCAAGTCAGGGGAAGTCCAAGGGGGGAGGGTCCGCACTGGGCTCAAGGCCCAGAAGGCACTGGGAGCACGGGGAGCTGGCCTGACTGGAAGGCCCTGACGCAGAACCCACCCTGCAGCCAACCGGGAAGACTGCCTTCTTGACCGGCTCACCTTCACCAGCCACTTTCTCTCCCCCACCCCCCAAAAAGGGAAGTATTTTCATCAGAGGAAAGTCAGCAAAACAAAATCTTTGTAAAACATTCAAGTGTTCTGTAACATTCTGAACTGTTTTCTCACGGGGGCTGACAAGCTGTTATTGATCTCTCTTACTGATATCTCTGTGGACCTAGTGTGTGTCCATCCCGGAACCAGCAGTGCGCACGCACGTTCAGTGGATGTCTGTGGAAGCAAAGCGGCCAAGTCCCCTCTCCAGGTCACACTTAAAGGGGCCCGATATCACTATAACTGGCGCGGGGTTGGCACTGCTTCTGTGAAGGACAGGGACAGCTATGGCACCAAGGATGTAACTTGTCATCAAAGCTTGGCAGTAAGTGACCGTAGACATTTAGCCAGAGAGGGGACTTTCCTGGGTTAAAGAGTGCTGGCCAATCAAGAAATAAGTGTACTCCCCACATAATTCTGGGGCGCACTGAGGTCTGCAGCCCCTCCACCCACCACCCCAAATGACAGTCTTCCTCTCCAGTCTAGAGCCCCACACCTGGCTCTGTTTGATGGCCTTGAAATCCCAGAGACACAAATCTTCCAGCTGGTGATCCGAATAATCACTGTCTTTTAGACAGTGAGAATTCTCCCCGAAGAAGGTCTCATACTGAGACCTTCCTCTCCCAGCTCGGGTCCCTGGTTGGGGGAATCCCATCCCCAGCGGTGTGCTCCTAGGTGCTAAGGTCACCCCCACTTCCCTCGGAGGCTGGGTATGCACTTGCTTGAACTCGGAAGACCAAAGGGACTGGAGAGTGTTCTAGCTCAGGTCTGGGAGGACTCCCTCGGCCACTCCCTGATTGGGAAAGATGACCGCCCCCATATTCAGAAAAGAAACATTGCAGCCCCGTGGTTGCAAAAGAC